CTCTTGAACACCTATCTGCAASCAAAGATTGCTGCATCACAGCCAAGGAGCCACATAGCCATCTCCTGCTACTGTGTGACTCATGAGAGAGTTTCTGATGGAGGGGAACCTACTAGTCCTGTGACACAAGTGGGACCTCACGAGTGTGGTGCATGCTACTAGGTGTGCTCCAAGACAGATGGACTTTGATGGGAACAAGGCCAAAGAAGGGCTGGAAGACTGAAGAGAGCAAAGCAACAGCAAGCTCATSATCTAGGAGAGTCTCAAGGAACTTGGTTTACAAAGGACACCTGTGGAGACCTCTGTGGACTGTATGTGAGTCTCAAGAGGGAACATTTTCGATCTACCAATAGGAGTTACATGGTTTCTGTGGGAAGGGAGATGCTTTATTGTAGTCCCTCATTCGTGTGGAAAACTAGACCAAACTGATAAACCAGATTAAGTGAAACAGTTGGATTTGCTAACACTAACTTCTAGGTTTCAGTAAGTGCTGTTTTAAGTGTTTCCTTGAACTCCAGCTCCTTCCAGTTTTCGAGGAGATGAGCAACCGAGACCTGAACCCCAGACAGATCTACAAGGGATATTGCACTGTGTTATCACCACAAAGAGAAGGGCAGTAGGCTGGGCAATTCTGCACGACTAGTATTTGCCTGACTAGGTAGCTAGCACAGAAATGCATCCTCTTAAGGAACTTCACAGTTGGTGCCTTAGGGTGTTTTCAATATGATGTTTCTGCAAAACTGCCACTTTCTTTAACGCATGAGACTTAAAGCTGTCTGCTGACACTGGCATCCTATTTCAACAAGTGGAAGGAATACTGTGTTTCTTGAAAAAAAAAGATAACATAGGATGAAATACAAACGGGGTTCATCAGGGCATTCAGTTCACACAGCCTTCTCCAAGTCTGGGACAGCCAGTGGTAGCTGCTAGTCTTGCTAATTTACATCTCCATCCTGTTACAAGTTTGTTGAACTGCACAGTATCRGTCTGATTTAGGAAGTGTTTGTGCCTGCCTACCTGTCTCATTGCTTTGCTGCCACACGCAAAAGGAGAGATCTGGAGTTGACTTCACCTAAATGATCATTGGAGTCAGGAATTGCTTCCCCTTAAAAGAATATTGTGGCCGCTGGAGTTTTGCATAGTGGAAAAGACCAGACACTCTTTGTTTTCACGTTTCCTTTCTCTGAACCTGTATGTTTGCTCTTCATTTTTAGCGAACAATTGCAGAGGAAAAAATCTGGTTACTAGTTTTAGAAAGCAGGTCTGATGGACAGTTCATATGAAGTCATACCACATATCAAGATTGGGAAATGCTAACAGAGTGTAGGCCAGTAGTTCTGGATGCTGGTCTTTTTTTTCACTTTGACCTRTAGAAACTACTCCTGTGCAGATGCGATGATATTCAACTTAAGGCATGTATTTTTAAATAAAGCACCATAGAGTATTCCTCTAGCTATGGGTGTCTACTGAGAGTTTGTTTATAAAGAACATTATGGCAGGGCAGTGGACACATTGGGTACTCGGTTTTTGCCTAGGTTTTTAAGTTTAGGTAGCCGTGTCCAAAATAAGTCTCTTGCTCCCCGGAGTGGTATATTTTGTCACAACCAGGACAGTTGTAATTTTCCCTTCTAATAGAAATATCAAAAATAGCTAATTTCATCCTAATTAGCACATTCCATCTGCTGACTCATTTTCCACAAGTCTACTGCTGTTTTCATTTCAGGTGAGAATACTTGCTTTTGGTTTCCCCCCACTTCTACTTTAGGCAAACATAGCAGTTTTTTTCTCCTAACCCAGCTAAAAGATGTTTAAAGAAAGTAAAAATCCTTCTACTAAGATGTTAAATTCTATTCAAAAGAACTTTTTTTTTATGTGAATGCAAAGAAAAAGTCAAGACTGTTGTCCTCTTTTTTTCCTTTACCTTCCTTCATTCTTGCCTGTAATATAAACAATGAGGAAAATTAAATAATTCTGTTAATTCTTTCTGGTTGTGTATCTTTATACCTGCAACGTATGTTACCCAAAGAAACAGCTAACAATGCAACAAGAATTTTTACATATTGGCAGAGAATTACCCATAGTTCATTCATTTTCCCGCAAAAGTAATGTGGCTGTTTGGCTAGATGATTTTTTTTTCAGATTATTTGATTATTTTCCTTAAAGATTAATAGACCACCAGACTTCTCCTGAGACTGTTGGGGTATTTGTCTGTTGGGGTTCTTTTTTTATTTTCTTGTTGTTAAGGGCCAAGGGTWCTGTCAAATGTAGTAAATTCTCAGCTTGCCAAGCTAAATAGGATATAGATGAGGGTGTAGAGAGTTCTGCTGTGGTCCTACACCCTGACCTGTCCAGCAGGAGCATTTGAGGTTGTGGGACAAGCCACCAGTGTGTGACATGGGTGGCTGCAATGTGGGACGCGCTCGCCCCCCTTTGACTGCCGCAACCTGACAGGGGACCCCTGACTATGGGACCCACTTTGGGGCATGTTTCACAGTTGTGGCCTATCCTGCAGGGCTCTTTTCTCTCCTGCAGAGAGAAGCTGTCCTTAAAATCATGTTTCATACCTATCTGTGCTGTTAGAGCCCGGCTCTGTCCTCTTGTTGCTGCCCACCTGCTCTTCCCCCACTCATCCCCTCATACTCTCCGTCCAGGTGAAGCCTGGAAGCTGCTGATGGTCTTCAAAGGTGGAGAAGCAGCAGCTTTCCTCAAGGTAATAGAGCYGACTTTGCTCTTCCTCCTTTCTTGATCTGCAGGACGTCTTTCAACACACACTGCTGCAACAGAGACAACAACCAGGAAGAGTTTAGAGATTATTTTCTGCTGCATGAGTCAGTGAAATTTAAGAGTTATGGTATGGCCTTTTTCTAGGGCATGGAGACATGCACTGCGTTGTGTGGGGAGGGTGCAACGTTAAGGTCTATCACCCTGGTCAGGGAGTTGTTTTGCTTTCTGAGCTCTTCTGAGAATTTTAACTCCAAATAATAAATTCAATCCCAAGGCAAGGAGCAGAATAAGTCTCACACCTGATGCTGATCTCTTGTGTGGTGGGGTGGGAGTGTGCAGGGTTTTTTCTTCCTCCCAGGTCAACGTGCTGCCAGATTGATAGTTATGCAGAACAGAGAGATCAAAGGATTTTCCTGGATAACAAGACTGTGTAGGTTTCCATATATCGTTTCACATAAACTAGATGCTTAACTGCTGCTTTTCATGTCACTGTCCTCTTCCTATGTATCCTCAGTCTGAAAAGTGTTCTCAGATATGTGGATTTTTGTGCCACTGTATGGGTTAGGACATTGTACCTACTTCCCAGGTGGAAGAATCAAGCTGTTAACAGAGAAGCACCTCTCGCTGGTGTCTCCTTGCTCTGTGTGTGGGAGCCAGATCTGGTAACAGATTTGGCTCTCAGTATAACTTAGCATAACAAATTTGCTAGAGGCTGTTACTTGGATCTAACAAGTAGGTTCAATTAGCTCTATAGTGTGTTTGTGCACACACCTATATGTACACACACATTTTGCTATTGAACACATGTGAATAGAGGACTACAAAGGAGGTGTGAAATTTTATGTAATACGTTTACCCAGGAAACTGTGATTTAAAAGAATTGCTCCGTCGCAGAGTTTGTTCTTTTGCACCTATGCAACTGACCTGCAGCCACCTGCGTTCTGCTAAGAAGGTACTGACGTGAAATGCTCGGCTGCATTTTTGCCAATTCCTGCTTCTTGGGGGTAAGAAGCCTGCCTGTTAATTCCCAAACCAGTTCCACACATTTGCAGAAGTTGAATTGCAGATGGCTGTTAATTTCCCCTGGCATCTTCCAAAGGCAAATATGTTTCTGTTGTTTTGTTTACAAAATAAACCCTATCCATACACTTAATTATATTTGACCTCATAATTTCAGGTGCTGCTTTAGCCTACAACGTTACCAGACCTTGGGGGGAAGTTTTGTGCATTATTAAGCAAAAGTTATATAGCTATAGTTAGTGAACTCTGTTTGAAGCCATGCATAATAAATACATGCATAGTAGTTTCTGTAAYAAAGAGAAAAACACACCTTTACAGTGAAAAATGTGTTTTCTAAGTGGGAAGTGTGAACTGCAGTTAAAAATTGATATCCTTAATTGAGACTTGATTCTCTCTCCAAATGAAAGAATGGTTGAATGTCTGCATTTTAGAGAGGAAAACCATGAAAAAGGTACCATTCCCCATGAAAAGAGGTAGCAATTATTGCTGAGCTTCTCTTTCCTTTACCTCCCTTCATGTCTGAAGTTATTTTGAGGGCAGAAGTGCTTTCTAGCAAGGCTTGGTGGCACCAATGGCAAGATGTTCTGGCCTGAGCTCTGGGGGTTATCAGGCTTCTCCTGCAAGGGCAGATCTCTAACCTGGCAGCTCCAGACTCCTTTAATTAAAGTCTCCAGAGATAATCCTTTATGTAGAGCTCAGCACTTGATAAGAGGCATACTCACCGGTCCCAGGAGCTGCCTGAAACAAGCAGTTGGTGGTTGGTTTTCTTATAATCTCATTTTATGTGATGTTTTGTCCTTGGCAGCAACAGTGTAACTGAAAATTTGAAAGTCTGAAATACATAAAGCACATACAAGTTCTTTAGCTGAAATTCCTGCAATGAAAAAGTTGTTCCTGGAGTTTGTATTATCTGTTCTAAAATGTACAGTGTTCACTGAAGGCAGCACATAATGACCCTAGGACTGTTTACAGAGTTGGAAGATATATTGCATGCAATCACCTCAGAATATGCACAACAGATTTTATTATATGGGTAACATTAATCTATCAAGTCTTCCTGTTTATCCTTTGACTATTCATCATTTGGTTGCTATATGCATATTTAAGGGGATCTTTTTTGCTCTGGCGCGAGCACTGCTGAGCCATTCTAATTTGTTGGATGTGTCACTGTAGTTGCAATGCTTTGCTGCTTTTCTTTTTTTCTTTTCCATTTTTATGCTCTGAAAGTAACATCTTTTTCTTTATCTTTTTTAAAGATAAAGACATTCCCCGCTGATACATCTAATCCTTTTTTCGATCCTTTTACAACAGTACCACAGTTTTCTGTAAGTAGAACATGCAACTAAAGAACTGTGTATTTAACACAATTCCAAGTGATTTTTTTTTTTAACAGCGTCAGAAAGTTATGCATTAAACCGTCCTCAAAAAGATGCATTCCAAGAAGGATGTAGGGTGCAAATCTGTTAAATATTCCCAATGTTCAAATGAGTTAMGTTGCCTGCGTTGAGACACCGCTGCTTACTAGACAGAGGACTAAATGCTACAGGCCAAGACTGACTGCTCATGCTGTCAGGTCCAGCCTAGTGTTTAGCTCAGCTGCGTAGAGGGCACTTGTGAAGCTCCACAGAGCCTTTCCAAAGGAGCGTCAGGGGAGCAGGGACAACTTGGTCCCTTGTCTACCGACTGCCTGGCATCCTGCTGGAAAGCACCTGCTGTGCCATCTACGGCAAAATCAGGCAGGAAGGACCTGATTTTCRTTGAAATCACATCTGAATTTTAAGGAAGGATTTCAGTGTGTTGATGTCTGCAGTAGCATCCTTGTGTAATTCCCGTTAACTTAATAATCCGAATCAAACATTGGAATTCAGGTATTGCTAAMCATGCACAAAAGTCCCTTCTCCAACCTTCCCAACATGAGAAGTGATTCTGTCTTGCAAGAAACATTCTCTGATTGCAATTATACCAAAAAAAACACAGTAGCTAACTTGTAGTTTTTAAATTACGTTCACAAAAAGTGAAGCAATTGAGACTTGAACCTTAACTTTCACTGATAAAAACAATCTGTTTTTTTTCTGGCATATAATCAGAGTTAATTAACTCGAGTCCCTGTTTGGACATGTACAATAAGCATCTCCGCTTAATTAATTAAAGAGGCTTTTCTTTTACAATAAACCTGATCATCTTGAGATATGATCTAAATGTTGTTTTTCTCCAAATATGTACTGTAAAGTCAGAGTTAGTTAGGCAGTTAGTTAGTTAGCAGTGTTGTGTTCTCATTAGATGTATTCAAAAATATATGAGAATATGTCACAGCAACTTTTCCTTAAGCCATCCAAGTTTGGAAAGTACCATTGTGCTAAAGCTAAACTGATGTTGTAACGCTTGTGTCCTTCATAGCTACTTTATGGTAAGCAAAAAGATATGCACAGAATACTTTCCAACCCTAATCACTAATTAATAGTGATTGTTCTGACTAGTCTTTCCAAAATCCTCTTTTGTCCACATAGACCCTTGTTTCCCTGGAGAAGGGGCATAGGGAAGTACAGATCACAAATATTTAAAATACCATTACATTAAAAAATGAACGGTAATGGTGTATGGCCCATGGTATGATTCCATACATTCCTTTGAGTGACTTATATACAAATGCCCTTTGTGAGCCGGCAGCTATGGAAGRATTTTGTGAAAATGGGGACATTAGGAAGGCAAATTCCACTGTGGTCCATAGTCCTCCTTCCCGACGTGAAGAGTGGAGAGTCTCCCCAGTTGCATTTTAGTTCAGCTCAATGTCCAGACAGCTGCCGGCCGCTGCGTGGACCAGCTCTGGGTCAGGGCTATGGGTCCCGCAGGCAGATCTAGCTCTGAACCTTCTCCAGGCACATACAGTCCCATATACTACAAACATTTGTGACTCCTTTTCCTTGTTTTTACCTTTCTGTTGTTGTTTATTTGTTTTCCTTTTCTTTGCTTACCCTTCATGTTTTCTTTGCTTGGAGCAAAACATTGAGATTTTATTAAGAGGAGGAAAAATAAGTTATGAATGGTGAAGTTTTGAGGGCTTTACTTTCTGTATGGGGCTCCTGGCTTAGCGATGTCCATGAAGTTGTATTGATCCCATCAGAGGAAAAACTGCAGAATGTGGTTAACTGGCCCAGCTAAAAAGGAAAGTTCATGCCAGGAACCCCTCAGAACTGCAGAGATTTCTGTAAAGAAGCAGCAGGCTCAGTGCCATGCTCTCATCTGCTGTCACGTAGATCTATTAAGTCAATGAAATTATATCTGTTTAGAGCAGTTAAATATTTGGTCCAAACATTCTGTGTAAACAGGTGCATATAAAAAGATGTGTTGGATGTAGACAGCAGAACCATTACCCAGAGTAAACACACTTGAAGACACAAGGCAAGTCTCGAGCAAGTGTAATTTGTCAGAGCTCTGTTGACTTAAGCAAGGCTGGCAGACTTGACACCAGCTTGCAGAACAGCACCACCTTCCCATACAGTAAAACTGGAGCTCAGAAAAAGGAGATCCTGTATGAAGAGCACCAGGTTTGCTCTCTAAAGCTGAGTTTTAAGAGCTGAATGGGAGACAAGATTGAAGAGGTTGCATTAACCAATGTTTACCTAAATAATTGGCCAGAGTTGAGGAGGGAGAATTCCTTTAATTCGTTCCATTAGCGAGCATTTTCATTTGACTAATTTCATGAATGCATGGGAAACCCTTTTACTTCAGAGGTTGCTCTGGAATATCTGATATGTTTTTAGTGAAAACATGAGCAGGAGCATTTTAAGAAAAACAGCAATAGCCGAGCGTTCRTGCCTGGGCTTAAACAAATCTCCCACTGATTAAACCAATTTGTTTCTGCTTTTAATGTTAATCCTATGCGGCTTGCAGAATTTGAGACATAATTTAAAAAAAAAAAAATAGCTGTGATTCAAATTGCTGCATAAATATCACATGCTCCCTGAGGATGGTGACTTTTCTTCCTCCCTGCTGTAAAGTTTGAATGATGCTCAGAAGAAAAAGTGGTCAAGAATGAGGCCAGCACCACTACGAGGCTAGGAGTTGARGTGCTGGCAAACGTTCCTCCTAACTGAAGATCCTCTGGGCACCAGGAACACGAGCCACCAGGGTTTGGCATTAGAAATAGGGCAGTACCAAAAAGTAGGGCAGGGCTATTTTATTTTCCAGGATCTTTTTGTCTGAAACCAGCACAGCCAGTATTGGCTTAACATTGCCTGTCATTGCAAAGCTCTTTTGCTCAGCTCTCTTTATTGCACTGAGAGGCAATGCAGGGATGATAAGTGGTGTTCTCCAGATGGAGCATGTTTSTCATGGAAATGCTGTCAGGCCTGCACGGGGAGTTTGCTCCCACATAGTGCAGGCTGCAGTCAGACTTGTCACTTGGGCATGGCCATCAAAGCATGGCCTGCTCAGCACTTCTAGGGGTTGTACTGGGCAGCTCTGGCTCCTGCCCGTGGGTCATCCTTTTTATTAGTTGCTCTTACCGAGTGCTTGGCAATGAGCAGGCTGGTGAAAGGAGGCGAGAGGAGCAGAAGCTCATCTACCCTTTTCCCCTTTCGTGTCTGTGTGCGTTGTCCTGCAGGCAGAGTTTACAGAGAGCAAGCTACCGTGCTGTGCCGTGCAGTCCTCGCCCAAGCTGCCGCCCATGGCGCCGTCGCCCGTCCTGCGGCCGCTGGCAGAGGCCGTGCCRGCCCCAACGGTGCAGACAATATATCCATCGCACAAGCCCATCTCCCTGGCAGACAGGTACTGTGCCGCGCTCTCACGGGGCTGTTGCGATGCTCTGTGCAGTGGAGGCATCGCCCCGGTTCCTCTTTTTCTACCGTAATTCCAGCGGGAAAACAGCACTTTCTTTCTAAGGCACTGTTTCCCCCAGTGCCAAAATATGTTCAGTTGCTGTTTTGTGGGTAATAATGGGTAARGAAATATATCTAGACTTTATTTCTCTTCTCAGGGAAAATCTATCTTAATTAAATGCTGCAGCCAGCATTTCTTCTTTACTAAAGATTAGTGTACCATCCCCCTGGCTGATGGGCTGGAGAGAAAAYACTGTGCAGTTTTTCTTCAGGCAAGTCTTTTTGCTTGAACCACAAAGGTTTTCTTTTAATAATTGCTGTTGCAATTTGTCTTTTGAAATTAAATGTCTAGGGGGAGAAGCCAAGGTTGAGAAATGTTTACTCTTCTAAATGAAAATCAGGCCCTGGTTTTCCATTTTTTTAAAGTACTTTCAGACTGCTGTCACCTTTCATGTAGTTTCTTGGAGAAACAAGAAGCCATCCCACTTTTCCACAGGTAGCCTGTATTCCCTTTTCTAATCTTCCATCCTGCTGGTTTTGCGTGCTGACTCCTTCTCTAGGATTTATTCGAAGCTGAATTTTCTAAGCTGCTGATTTMCTGAACAGAAATGAAGGAGCTGATACATTCAATACTTTGGAGCACGAAAGTCCTAGTATGGGCCAAGTGCTCCCAAACCCAGGGTGTTTCTGTGGACTCCAGAGCAGCTCCGTCCAGCAGAGACAGGGAGCTCTGCTTCCCCGATGCCCATGTGCCCATGAAGCAGGACTACAGCAAGCTCAGTATATACAAGTCAGGACTACAGCAAACTCAGCTTATACAAGTCAGGACTACAGCAAACTCAGTATAGACACGTGTTCCCCAGTATCGAGCCGTGCTGAGGAGTGGAAAGCTCTAGCGCTAATCTTTTGCAGCCTTAGTTACTCTATCTGTTTCTTGATGATTTATTTTTAGAGTCCTAGTCCAGCTTTCTTTAGAGTCAGTGACCTTTAATGTGGATGAGATTAAAAATAAACTGTTTTGCCATCTGGGTCCTTTATGTCCTTTTTTTTTTCTTGCTCCTGTTTGCCGTTCAGAAATATCAGACAACACCTGGTTTCGAATCACCCACCAGTCACTAGCCTTTTCACCGAGTCAACCTCTCCTCCCCTCTAGCAGTATCCTCAAAACGTTAATGATTTTTAAACTGAAATATGAGCCTTATTGTTGCTCCCATAATCACTTGTTTGTGCGTTAATTACGCAGCGCCGAGACCCTGCGGCGTGAGCTGGAGCGAGAGAAGATGATGAAAAGACTGCTGATGACCGAGCTGTGAAATCCATCCTCGCTGCCGCCAGACGGAGAAGGGGCCGGGGCCTTTCACGTGCCTTCTGTCTGTTTACATTCCTCTGCGTCCGTGTGCTCAGCGTGGTGCGTGGGGAAGCCCTGCCGTGGGCCTGGCTCGCCCGGATTCACCACCCGGCTTGAAGGGAAGGCTCGGCGAGACTCCCCCTCCAAGGAGCTCCTTTGCTTATTTGCTGCTGGGAAAGAAACCCTCACTCCGTTATCTCTCCTGAGGTTTTATACTATTAATACCGTTCATTTTCGGGTTGGTTTTGGTAAATCTAGGGCAAAAAGGATCAGCAAGGAGCGTACTGATTTCTATTGGGAAACACTGTTCTGTACATATGTTAATAACTGCACAGAGATTAATGTTATGCAGAATATTTTGATAGTAACATAGAAAATATGTCATTTTGTACAACGGAAAATTGCAACGAGCTACTGCTATTTGTTAAAGAATCATTTTTAAAGTGGAAGAATGATTATTAAATCCTAACCCCAGGACTGTTAGTCTCCACAGAAAAGTAAACAGCTGTCTTATCAAATTCCTAACCTTAACCTTTACTCAGAGATATAAATAGCTGCAAGGGGAAGAAACCCCTCCCTACAGATATCCACCCCCAACGCTCCCTATAGTTTGTCATCGTGACCTAAATCTGAAACTAAATCGTACTTGGTTTTCCATTAATGAAAAGATCAGTTATTTAAAGTAATTTGCTACTGACTTTCTAGCTTGATATTGACTTTTTTAATTAAGTGGGAAGTTTCTCCTTCTCCGCCTTGCCGACATCCCGGCGCTTGCCCGTGCGCCCGCAGCGGCTGCCGGCGCCGTGGAGTTTGCAGGCCCTGCTCTGCGGGGCCGCAGCTTTTGCAGAGGGCACGTTTTTCTTTCCTGGATTGGTAAAACACCTTCCTGGAGGACAGGAATTGACGGATGTGTTTAAATAGGAATAGCCACCGATGGCCGAGCTGTGTCTATACCCTTTTTATTTTGCACGCCCAGTCAGTGCGTCTCTATGGGCACGCTTTGAGGACTGGCTATGTGTGAAATCCTCTGCTTTTGGGGGGACTTTCTCAGGCACAAGGTTACGTGGGTGTCTAAGTGTTGGCAGAGTTGCAGCTTCAGGGAATGTACTGATCCATAAAGGTAACATTACGAGGTTCCTACGAGAAAAAGCGGCTCTGTTTTCCCCTGTTTGGTATTGTGGAATTACCCGAAAAGCCACCAACAACCGACTGTCAGCTACAGAATACTGTTCCTACGGGAAAGCTTTTGTGTGTTTTATATGGCTGATGATGTATATTTTTCTGTTACTCTGAATACTCTGTTCTCTTGTTTGTATTAAGAGAAAAGCTTGCCCTTAATTTGATACTGATTACGAGGGCTTTATCTCAGCTTAACCAGTTTCTTAGCGCAAAGAGACTGTTGTAAGCCTGAGTTTCCTTCAGTTAGCCTGGGCTCTTTTTCCGAGAGGAGAAATTTTGAGAGCATTAGAGGGTYTTGGTTGTAACGTGGCAGTAGAAAATGATTCGTCTGTTTTGTATTTAGTGGGACGAGAGATTTGCCTCATGCTCCCCAAAGAAATCCAGCGGTCCCAAACCTTCACACTTGTAGAATGGGACAAAATAAACAGCACAAGTGTTAGGTAGAAATCAGCAAAACAAAATGCAATGGAGTAGTATGAGGAATAGGCACAAGCAGTCATAGAAATATACCCAGATTGCAGGTTTTAAAGCACTCAAATGACTTTGCTGAGTTATCAAATACAGCTTGTACACTGTCCACCTTCTGGTTACTGTGCCAAGACATTTTTCTGGCGTATGTTTTTACATACCTCTCCATCAGTCTAAGGCTATTAAAAAGGGATTAGGAACAGTAAGTCCCTGTGAAGAAATCAGAAAGGGGAGCAGCACAACAGCAGGTATACAAGATTGCACCTTCCTTTTCTTGTTATCCTTTTTTCACCACTTTCCAGAAGGATATTGATGGAAGGAGGCAGTATATTTTTCTGTTCGAGGTGGGTTTTTTGAGATTGGAGCAAAGGAAGTTGGAGTGCGGCACAGCCCTGACCTCAGCTGCATCTGGTCTCTTTGCCTGCTGTTAGGCAGCCCCTCGTTGCATGTGAAGTGTCCTGATATTGCACAAAGTCAGCAAGGAAAACAGATCTGAGCGCAGCATTTAGTTGGATTAATTGCCCTGAACTCCTTCCTGGAGCAGGAATGGACACTGGAAACCCTGGAATATGCTGTGAAGTTTGGGGATGAACCCAGTGACCTGCATGAGGGCAATGTAGTCCCGTAAGCAAATGCCCTCAGCAGACCTGAATGTGTGGCCCAGACCAGCCCATCAGATTTTCTGGCCCGTAAAGAAGCTGCTAGCTCACTATTTTAARTGCAGCATTTTACTGCTATTGTATAAAGATTCTTGAGCTGAAATATTTGGAATAGGAGAAGAGGAAACATGAACCAAGGTAACTTGACAGTAACAGGGTCTAAGTGACTGAGTTGGGCTTTGGAGTAGCTGAGAAAGAGCAGAGCCTCCTCTGGCCTTGATTTGCAGCAGTTAAAGAGGACAAGATCCACACGGGCGTGGGTTCCTGCAGGGCTTTTTCCACAGGACGTCCCCACGTGCGTTGGTTGCCTCATCTTGTTCCAGTGCCCTGTCCACCGGCTGCCATCGTTCCCTATTCTGCAGCCCAGTGGAGCTTTGTTAAAAAGTTTTGCTGATATTGAACTAAACTTTTACCTACAGAATGTCACCCTGTTGTTCTTTCTTACTACGTACTTTCTTCCGCCACGCTTAAGCGTCTCGGTTTTCACATTTTTTGAATATACACTCTGCCTCACTTCTGGTTGGGAATTACAGTGTTAGGACACCTGTTACCCCAAACCACTGTAAACAAGACAGTGTCAACACGGATGTATGCTGAGGGGCTTATATTCTAGATTTGCCCCTGGACTTTTAACTTTGCAGGTGTTTAAGGATACTCTGCCTGAGGGCCTGTCTCTGTAACAGCGCAGAAGTATCCGAGCTAGCTTTAATGAGCTTGCATATGTAGTTGTGGCAGCATGAAGCCCAGCACAGGCTATCATTATCATGTACATTGACACGTGTAGAGATAACGCATTGGAGCAGCAGCCTTCTGAAGTGTGGYTGGGAGAGGCAGCGACAGGAGAGGGGAACTGAAAGGAGTTTGGCTTTTCAGGCCTCCCGGGAAAGGATCCATCTCACCTAACGTTAATGCACCGGGCTCTCATCTTGAGAGAGAGGGATCATGATCATCCTCCAGGGATAGCGCCGACTCCAGTGGCTGCTTTTTGAAGGCCCGAGCTTAGGTGAGATGAATCTTGCTGTTGGTCCCTCTGGTTAGGCCTACACTGCAAACCCTTGCCGCATCACCCAGGGGTGCTTTGAGGTGTGACTTGTGGTCACCATAGCTCTGCCCGCAAAAGCCTTGCACGTTACGTGTAAATATACCGCCRAACTCACCCTGGTCGTCAGAACAGGGTTTTGCTTCGTTTCGTTTCATTTTTTTCCACCTGTGAGAAGAGCAGAGAGCTGGGTGACCTTACAACAGCAAAAGCAGGGACGCGTGTTGGAGATGTGCGCAGGCTGGAGCAGCGGGTTGATCACAGAGCTGCTGTAGCTCCCGGCATAGCTGGCGAGGTGAGCGGCTGGCTCCTGGCAGGGCCACGGGGACCTGCTTAGCAGCTCCCRGCTTTCCAGTGTGAGTGGAGTCACCTTTCAGTGGCAGAACGCAACGGTGTCGTGTTTGGGTGATCCCAACAGATGCGACTGGCCATTTTAATAGCTATGCAAGGAGTTAAATATTTCCTCATGCTGCCGTCTCTTCTGGAAGCTGAGCAATTGTGGTTTGTTTCTGTGTGGTTCAACTGTTTTGACCATATCATTTTTAAAAAGAACAACCACATTTTTTTTTTTTTTTTTGGAGATGTTGTACAAGGTCTCAAATCTCTATCGGATCCCACAGTGTGTACAGATTTTTCATGTTTCAAGCACATCTTCCAAACACAAGTACCCTGGAAATGCAATGTTTGAAAGTTAACTCCTCAAAAGTTTCACTTCATGACTTCACCTCTCTCTTGCTACAGGATGCCTACGTGCCCATTTGAAACAGAGCTGACAATGCAGTGAAACGTTTCATTGGAGGCAGCATCATGTTCTATTTGAACTGTTTACAAATAGCCTTTGTTTTCTTTTCTTTTTTTTCTAAATATATTTCTGGTTCATTGATTACAAAAAAACTATACTCATAATTATGCAACGGAATAGCCTTTTTTTCCCCTTTTTTCTTTCTCTCTTTTTATTTTTGTTCCTTTCTGATGTCCTGATGTTCAAGGAGTTTGCAATAAATATACTGAGACTGATCTCTGATTGCATGTAAGATCAGCCTCACAACTGTGTTTTGTAAAGTTCGGTGCCGTAAAAGAGCGTGCGGATGCTGTGGGGAAGGGAGCGAGGAGCTGGAGGAGAAGGCTCCGACGTTGGCAGCTGCGGCTTTGCCTGGTGGGGAGCAGCTCTGAAGCAAGATTGCTGACACCGCTCTGTGCCACCCCAGTAGCAGCCTCTATCAGCAGAGAGAGTGTGAGGGCCTTTTATTGAAAACCTGCCTAGAGAGAAACTTTTACGGCTCAGCTGTTTACTTGTTCCTGTATTCATGCCTGCAATAAACGAGATGAAAAATAAATCACAGTGTTTGAGCGGTCTGTAGTCAAGCCAGTGACTTAGGAGACGCGGGGCGGTAAACAAATTAAATTAAACAAATTAAACAAAATGTCTGGTTGCTCATAACGTGGATCCACCTTCAGCAGAAAGGATCTCTCTCAAGGAAACAGCAAAGAATTTCTTCAGGAAAACCAGGGTGTTTTCTTCAGCTGACAGTACCTCCATTGGGTAACTAATGAATTATGGCAAGCTTTGCTAGATAGCTGGACTGATAAAACACTGGCAGAATCATGATAAAGAAACATAAAACATGGCATGCTGCCGCTCTATCTTTTTTGTTTGTTTGTTTAGCTTAAGACAAATAAACATTTTCCTTAGATTTTTYCATTGACTGTGCCATTCTTTAAATGTCTAGACAAAAAGTTGCTTCAGAATGAAACATTTCCGTTTTCTTCTGTTTGAAGACTTAGTAAATCAGGACGTTTTGACATTAATTTTCCTGCTGCACTTCTAAAATGAAATCCCAGGAAAATTCACCCCATTTTCTGAGGTTGCCAGAACTCTATTCTGAAGGAATATGATCCCATCACAATTTCCTCAACTTGGGTATTCATCTATTTTTAATCTCTATGCAGGGAAAGCTGGGGAGCAAAGGATTAGCATTCTTCCATCAGTACTCAATTTATGCCAAGAAAAATGATTATCCAGCCAGCAAGCCTAGTTAATTAATTCCCCTTAATATATGTCTTTGCTAAAGCAATACTGTTCTGGGGAGTAGGGAGATGAGAAGCTCTGCGCTAAAAGGTCAGCAAATAMTCTCGTATAACTTCCCTGGAACGGAGAATCGTGAGGACTTCAGAGCTTTACTTTGAACAATTTTTAGTTTTATGATCAGATCACTGACCCATGGGATTGCCCAGAAGGTTGTCAAGAAAACTTTTGTTTCTAAAGGGACCTGCTTTCCAGAGCAAAAGAGAAAAAGACTTTTCCATGCAGCCCTATAGCACTGTAAGGGAGCGGGAAAGCTGAGGCACCAGCTACCAGCCTGATTGCGTTGCAGGAAGCGAGCTGCTCTGAGGACGGGGCACAAGGACCTGTAAATCGCTGTGGCCCCAGCCCGGTGGGGCAAAACCCAGCGCTCGTGGAAGTCCTGCTCCCACTGACCACGGTGGGGCCTTCACGGTGACCAGTGTTGGCCTCCCAGCGCCCAAGAGCAGCTTGCGCAGAGAGGCAAGTGAGGCCACAGCTGCCCCGGGGACAGAGCGACCCGGAGCTCAGCYGCTCTCCGGCCTTGCTGGATGCCAAGCAGCAAAGAAGGTGAACGACCAACCATTGCTCTGCTGTCTGAGCAACCCTGGCCACCTCGTGACAAGCTCTCCAGAGCATCCACGGCTCCTGGCATGAGATACAGAGAGCAGGGCTGCCCTTTCGGGGCAGCTCTGTGGTAGTTCAGCTTAGTTGTGTCATCAGGCTACACCCTACGTCACCCAGACGCTTTGGAAAACCCAGAGCCTCACAGCTGGGTTTCATCTGTTGCCAGTAGCACATATGGAATGTGTGAGGGGAAATCCACTTCCTGCAACCCTTAAGGTCTGTGGTGGTCAGAGAAAAGGGAGAGAAATAATACGGAGAAAAAGAATAACTGGATGACCTGATAGCCAGGCGTGACACTGAAACAATACTTGCCTTTTTAGTCTATTTTAAAACTACACATATATATCGTTATACATGTTAAAAATCCATTTAATACTCATCATATATATAGATRTATGTATTTTTTAACGAGTGTTTCTACAGCGAGCCTGCTATGGAATGCCAGTGTCCATACAGCTTTGCCATCGGCGTAGCTGGCACAGCAGTGAGGCAGAAAAAACATGTGGATTGTTACTGCTTCATGCACTGATTATGCTGCTCCTCAAGTGGAGAACCATTTACCCTCCTGCGTGCTTCCTCCACTGCCTTTGATGAGCAAGATCTTTTGGCTAGCCTTAGGAAATAAAGGGAAAAAAAAAAAAAAGCAGGTCATGGCACAAATTCATGTCTTTAATTAGTGCTCAGCATCAGGGTGCCCCAATGATTTAAAGAACTCGTGTCATTTGAATATGTATATATCTATTTGCCTTACTGCTTTCCAAAACAAAAAGGGTGATTTCCCTGCTGACAGCTGCCCGCTCTGGCTGCTGGCTCCCTCCAGCAGTGCCAGAGCTGGCASGGGTGCAGGATGGCTTGGCAGGAGGCAGCAAAGAGGGTTTTGGGGATGGTCTGAGAACGCACATTTGTGCCTCCTTCCCTCTTGGGGTGGGCTCCTTGCTGCGGCAGTGGCGGATGCAACCTCAGCGTTCATCAGGGTGGGCTCTGTGCTGCCCTGGCAGGAGGCAGTGGGGTAGCTGGGGCCAGACAGCTTTAGCAGCACTGTGGGCACCCCGGTGAGGGGCTGGGGATGGAGGGCTGCGGGCTTCAGAACAGCAGGGCTGTCAGGTTTGGGGTGTTTATGTAGGTAAAAGTCTGGGGTTTGGGAAAGTTTGGGAGATTGGGAGGTTGTGGTGCTCAGCGTGTTGACGGGCACGTGTGAGTATGAGGAGATGTGCAATAGAGTTTGGGGAGGAAGGTCAGTGTGAGGGGCTGTCTGCCTGGGTATGTGCAGTCAGCGATTTGGTGGCAGGGACGTTGCTGCGACGCGGTGTCGCTCCTGCCTTCTGCAAAGAAATTTCCTACTGTGCCTTGTGGAGCTGGCTGAGCCCCTATGGCCTGGTCTCTATTTGGGTAACTGCCTGAGCTCTACCRCATGGCTCCGGATGTCAGTGTATGAAACCAAGGGGAGGAAATAACTTGATTCCATGGCCACAAGAACAGTCCCATGTTTTAACCTCGAGCCTGACAAGCCAAGGCTCAGGAGGGATCTGGCCGGTTTGACCACTCACCCTGGTTATAGCACCATGAGCAGGAGGCATCTCTTCTATCCACCTGCTCCTCATCCCCTTCGTGTTCCTTCAGCCTGTATCCTTCATCCCCCTCCTTAAAGGGGCAGGTGCTGAGCAGCATTCACTTATGGCTGCCTGTTTCTTTAAGCGTCCTTCTCCTCAGGTACGAACATCTCTAGGTTTATTCTCTTTCCAGAGGGGGAAAAAAATCATGCATTTAGGAAATCCCTTGCCAGCCCTTTCTCTCTCTCACCATGAGTATGGGCTCCTACAGCTGCACTCGTCTTTCACCCTTCACCTGGGTCTCACATGTCTTCTCGTCCTTCACCCTCCAGCCTCCATCTGTGTCTCCCTGGGACACGTCCGGCTGCAGACACTCTGGCCTGTTCTGCTCAAGCCACGATACCTCCATCTCCYCAGGCCAGCTCCATTTGCTGCCTGTTCACCTGCCTAGGAGCGGGATTGACTAAGCATGACAGGTCGACATGTTTTCTCTAGACTAAA